GACTTTGAGTGGGGAAGATGTGGTTTCAAGTCCTACCTCAGGCACTTATCAGTCATGTTCAGTAATATCTGACTCTTTGTGACTTCATAGACCATACTATCCATGGGGTTTTTTTGGCAAAGATACTGGAGTGGTTTACCATTTCCTTCTCCAGTGGATGAAGGCAAACAGAGTGACATGTACAGGGTCTTACAGTTACTAAGTGTCTGAGGTCAAATTTGAATTCAGGTCCTCCTGACTTCAGGCCCAGCACTCTACCCACTGAGCCACCTAGCTGCGCTTCTTCTAGTCATTCTAGTCATTCACTTGATTCATAGATTCAGTGCCATCTTCTCTTCTCTCACTCACTTACTCTACATATCTGATCTATTGGCAAATCTTACCCTATTTCCACCTTGCCTTTCACATTAGTCTCCTTTATACTTAGTATTCCTCCTCTCTACTCACACAGCCACCACCCTGGGTCAAAACTTTTATCACTTCTTAATTGGCTAGAGCACTGAGTCTGGAGTCAGGAAGACTCATCTTCACGAGTTCACATCTGACCTCAGATACTTAGTAGCTATGTGTCCCTGGACAAGTCACTTAACCCTGTTTGCCTCAGTTTCCTTATCTGTAAACTTAGCTGGAGAAGGAAATGCCAAATCACTTCAATGTCTCTGCCAAGAAAACCCCAAACGGGATCACAAAGAATGAAACATGACTCAAAATGTCTGAACGACAACAATTGGATTATTGGGATAGCCTGTTTGGTCTCCTTACCTTAAGCTTTTCCCCACTTCAATCCATCTTTCACGGAGTCATCAAAGTTATTTTCCTAAAACGCTAGAGAGTTCAAATCCCTCATTCCACCTTTGCTGAACAAATTCCAATGGCTCCCTATCACTTGTAGGATCAAATGGAAACTCCTGGATTTGATATTTAAACCTGTTCATAACCTGGCCCCTTCCTATTTTTCCAGTCTTGTCACATTTTACTTCCCTCCTGGAGAGATCCAGCCATCCTGGCCAACTCACTGTTCCATGCACAGAACACTCCATCTCTGATCTCTTTGCTTTTTCATGGGCTGTCTCCCATGCCTATTTTACAGCCCCTGATCATTTCTTACCATTTTCTATCATTTCTAATCCCTGGTTTCAAGACTCAGCTCAAGCACCACCTTCTACAAGAAACATTTTCTGTTCCTCTCATAGCTGGTGCACCGCCTCCCAAAACTACTTTGTATATAGTCTGTATGTTGTCTCCTCCATTTAAATGTAAGCTCTTTGAAGGCAGAGACTTCCCTTTCATCTTTGGATCCCCAAAACTTGGCACAGTGCCTGGCACATGGTAGATACATAATAAATGCTTATTGATTGAATGTAAGTCAGCAGTGTGCTGTGGCAGCCGAGAAAAGCTAATTCAATCTTGGGCTGCAGTGAGAAACATTGCTTCCAGGAATAGGGAAGTGATAGTCTCAATGTACTCTGCCCCTATCAGACGTTATCTGGAGCATCATGTTCAGTTTTGAGTGTTGCAGTTTAAGAGAGATACTGATAAACCAGAGAGTGTTCCGAGGAGAGCGACCAGGATGATGAAAGGTCTTAAGTCAATGTCACATGAGGATTAGTTGAAGAAACTGGGTACATTTAATCTAGAGAAGATTCAAGGTAGAATATGAGAGCTGTCATATGAAGGAGGAATTGGGACTTTTTCAGGCAGAAGTTACAAAAAGGAAAATTGAGGTTTGATGTTAGGAAAAACTTCCTAAGAATTACAGCTGTCCAAAAACGCTGAGTGTCTCAGGCTGCCCCAAAAAGTGATGGATTTCCCCCTCTTTATAGCTCTGCGAGCAAAGGCCTACTTGTCAGTGGGGATTTCTTTCTCTAGACTAGACTGCCACTGATTAAATGACCAAAATTCTGTGATTCTGTGAGGGAGTCAACCAGAGATGTGGAATAGTAAAGGCCCAGTTGAGGTTGGATAATACGACTTTGGAACCGACTGCATGATTTTATGACTTTTATCAGCAATTCAGGAGTAGAAGTATGACCCAGGATTGCAGATGTTTCACATTCCATCTGACCACCCACACCCACCGTCTCCTTGCCATCTGCCTGGCTGCCTTACCTACCACAACTCTCTCCCTGATCAATTTCTACCTCTTAACTCTAAGAACAATAATCAAATGAAGACTATTGTGGCTTCTTAAAAGGGAGTGACAACCAACGGAAGGGCCCCATAGTTTCACTCACCATTCAGGTGACTTCCCAAACCAAAACACCCCTTTCAAGCCAACTACTCTCTTAAATGGGTTGTCTTCCTCAACTAGAATATAAGCTTCCAGAGGGCAGGTATTGCCTTGCTTTTGTATTGGTATTCAAGTGCTTAATAAATACTTTTCATTGACCTGTTTTTCAAGAAAATTAGATACTCAGGTTTTGGAAGACTTTGTTGTTGCTGTAGCTGTTGGTAATGATGTTGTTTTTGTCCTTATTTGTTGTTATTAACTCTAGAGTCAAGACAATTGTGAAGGAAAGGAAATGAGGCTAGAAAAACGACAGTTACTGGGAGATTTAGGAAGGACTGAGGAACTAGAGTTTGCAGTGAGGACAAAGACTGGGTCTATTAAAGAACAGGGGATTATATGCAGAACAGGGGGATTTCAGAATTTATTTCAGACATGTAACAGTTCTGGGTGATGATGAGGTCTAAAGTGTGACCGCTACAGTGCTGGCAAAGGGTCCCCTTAGATCTCTTTCTGACCAGTTATCTGCCCCCATCTCTGGGCAGAGAGAGTTGCTGCTTCTGAGGACCAAGCTGGTGCTCCTTCTATACTCTGGGCCTGTGGTATTATAAACCTCTGCAGCTCCTAAGTTACTTGAGGCTGGAAAAAGGTCTCCTTCTGACCTTTTGTTGGCTCTGCTGCTCCAAAATTTGGCTTGAGATATTATTTTAAAGTTGTTTGGAGGAGAATGCTAGCAGTTCAGCTGGGTCCCAGTCTGTACTCTGCCATCTTGGCTTTGCTTCCTTTTGAAAGAAGTTAGGGATTCTAATAAGTGGAAGTGAGGAAGGTGGAGGTATACAAGAACTCTAATAAGGGAGATGGTACCTTTTATAAGGGAATGGGGCTGGTAGGCCAGGGATAGTGTACAAAGACTAGCAAGGAAGTGAAAGTAAGCTTGAAGAAGACTTTAAATGAGGAGGTATTTTGTTTTTGATCCACATGGTCAGATGTGTATTTTAGCAATAACAATTTAGCAGTCATATGGAGAAAGGAATGAAGCACAGGGCAAAGATTGGAAGCAAGGTCATCAATTAAGGGACTTAACACCTTAGTTGAGACTCTATAGAGGCGATGAAAGGCCTGAACCAGGATAGTAGAGAAAAGGGACCTTATTTTTTTATCCCCAACTATATAATACAACTGAGTTTTCGTGGCAAAGATCTTAGAGTGATTTGCCATTTCCTTCTCTAGCTCATTTTACAGATAAACCTGAGGAAACAGGGTTAAGTGATTTGCCCAGGGTCACAGAGCTAGTAAGTGTCTATGAGACCAGATCTGAAATAAGACGAATCTTCCTGATTCCAAGACCAGTGCTCTATCAAATGCTAACTAGCTGCCCCACCTTAATCTTATCTCTAATTTAATGCTATATGTAAATCTTAAATCTAACCTAACCCTAATCTTACCCCAGTGAAAAGATTATTGGATTTGATGTTGCAGGGCCTGGGTTCAAATGCTGCCTCTGACACTAATTGTATGACCGTGGGCAAGCCACTTAGCCTCTTTGTACCTCAACTTACTCTTCTACAGAATGAGAGTGTTGAAACAGATGACTCCTAAGATATCTTCCAGCTCTAAGCCTGTGACTCTATGGCTGGAAACCATCTTCTATGCCCTCCTAAAAGTCTCTCCTTATCCATCCTTCATCTTTAGTACCGCTGTCATCGTATTACTCCTATACATTCTTTATCTTTCCACACTAAGATTATTGCAACGGCTTCCAAGAGTCTCTCACATTTATTAAAGCAGACACGGATCTAGGAGCCCATGACAAGGCTGGTAATAGCAGGTACCACTGATTCACGACTCCCCCCTACACACACACGTCCCAGCCCACGCTTGCCGCTGCTTAGCCGGTACGAACAATTCCCTTGCTTTACCTGGAAACCAAGTTTGCCTCGAGATTCCCACCCTCTGGTCCCCACGGACCTAAGGAAAAATAGATCCCTCGCGTGCACGGGGACTAAGGAGGCAGGGGACAGCAGGTGCTACAATAATCACGAACTCTCTTTGCCTTCCTTCCGTGCCACTCCACACTGCCCCCTCTCCCTCTCTCAGCTCCGCTGGCCTTGTTTTCCTCCTGCCTCGTCCCTTCCTCCGCCCAGTGCCCCTCGTTTCCCCCTCCCCCATTATACCCATTAACCCCAAACCCAGAGACAGAACATCCCACCCCCAAGCCCACGACCCCCACGAGAGGTCGGGGGAGGGGGGCCGGGCGAGTCCAAGCGCAGCGAACACAAGGTGGAGGGCGCGCGCTTGGGTTTGCGTGTTGGAGCTGCCCAGGCTAGCGCCCGTGAAGTCTCCACATCCCAGGGCCGGGCGGCTGGAGTAAACAGACAGCCCCGCGTCCGCGCTCAGCGGAGCTTCCGCAGCGTGCCCTGCCGGGATCCTTCCAGGCCGCCCAGCTCGACCAGCCCCGCGCCCCCCTTCCCTGCTGCAGTGGTAGCGCCCGAACGCTCCGCGTCACCCATTGTTTACAAATCGAACTGAACCGGCTGAGCTCCAGTTCCCGGAGCTGCGGCGGCGGCGGCGGCGGCGGAGGCGGCGGCGGCAGCTGCGCGCTCGGTGGCCCCGCACGCGGCCGGCTCGGTCCCGGACCGCCGCGCCTTGTCTTCGGGAGCTGTCTCCGGAGCCCGGCCGGGAGCGAGGAGCGGCCCGAGAAGCGACGGCGGCGACGGCGGCGGCGGCGGCGGCGGCAGAGGAGGAGGTTCGGAGTCCGGGTTGCGGACCGAGGCCATGCCGTGCCGGAGGGAGGAGGAGGACGAGGACGACGAGGCGGCGGCGGCTGGAGTGGAGGAGGAGGACGCCGAGGGGGAGGGGGAGGAAGAAGAGAGCTTTCTCCTGCTGCAGCAGTCGGTGACCGTCGGGGGCTCGGGGGACGTGGACCGGCTGGTGGCCCAGATCGGGGAGGCGCTGCAGCTGGACGCGGCGCACGGGAGCCGGCCCGCCCCCCGGGGGCCCCTGGCGCTCAAGCAGCAGTCGCCGCCGCTGCCGCCGCCGCCGCCGCTGCAGCTGCGACCCCCGGTCCTGCAGCTGCTGCTGCCTCCGGGGCCGGCTTCGGCGGCCCTGCAGCCCTCGGGACCGCTGCAGTGCGCGGGGAGCGGAGCCCGCGTTGCTCTTTCCTGGGCGAGCGACGTGGGCGCCTCCTCGCAGCCTCCGCCGCGGGCGCCGTCGGGTCCCTGCGCCCCAGGGGGGGCCCCGGCCCAGAGCAGCGCCTGTGGCCCGCACGTCTGCAAGCGGGGCTTCCCGCAGCCGCTGCCGGGCCCGTGCCGGCGCTCCTGGCTTCGGGGCGCCGCCGCCTCCCGGCGCCTGCAGCAGCAGCAGCAGCACCAGCACCACCAGTACCGGAACCGAGGGCAGCCGGGGCTCCGGGCCGGAGAGGATGACCCCCACCAGTTTCTGCAGCAGCTTGTCCTCTCGGGGAACCTCATCAAAGAGGCCGTGCGACGACTTCATTCCCGGCACCGCAGGCAGCACTTTCGGGCTAGGGACCCTTTGCCCCCAGTACCGGTCCCCCCTCTGCCTTTGCCCCTGCCTGTTCAGGAGGCCGAGGCAGAAGGGACTCTTGCTCTCTGCAGTCCTCGACGACCAGCCTGCTCTAACCCGGAGGGCCTTCGGAGCCAGCTAGTTTACAGACTTGGAGATGGCATCTTGGTCCCAAGCAGCTAGTGAATTCAGCAGGTTCAGGGGCAAGAAGAAGAGGGGAGGCTGAGAACCGAAAGCCCCAGCTCCAGAGACTGACATAAATGAACTTGAAGTGGAGAACAGGGGCTCAAAGGCAAAGAGGAAAGATGGGGGTACCTTTTTCGAGGTTATGGGGTGGGGAAAGGTGGTGTAGAACAGAACTGTAGGCTGTGGATCTGGGTAGTTTGTGAGGGATTGCCTGGCAAACAAAGGCCTCATCGGGCTGAAAATTAGACCCCCTCAGTCTGATTAGGATGAATATATCCTATTTATAGACAGACTACACTACTGACCCAAGAGCATCAATATAAGATACTCTTTAATTTGTAATTAGTGGTGCTGACTTGCACTGAGCCATCCACAGCACATTAGCCTGGTTGCCATGTGACCAACAGCTCACCTTTTTAGACTCCTCAACTGGCCACCTCTCTGGGTGCCTTTGGAACACAGTTGTCGTTTTCTCCTCTGTGCAGTATTAACTGGCCTTTTAATAGGAGTTACACTTTCCATCTTGGCCTCCTTAGCACAGATCGTATCCTACTGAGCTAACCATTAGGTGTGAACTCAGAATGGAGAATTATTCCAGTTACCTGCTTTGACTTGACCCAGTTTGTTTTCACTACTGGTAGTTTTCTTTGACTCATTTTTTTTTTTTGTTTTTGTTTTTGCTTTTTGGGTTTGGGTTTTTTTTTTTTTTTTTTTTTTTTTGGATGGAGAGGGTAGAGTGGGAATGGGGAGAAGGATTTGACAGCAGCAAGAAGAAACAAGGTGACTTAACCTAACTTGAAAACTTGATAGCATTTTCCAAACTAGATTTGGTTCTTCTGAGTTCTGGTTCTTACTGCTTGGAACACAATCAACTTCAGTAAATATGAAAAGAAAGAAAATGAGTAAAGCCTGGGTGGAGTGGCTTTAAGCAGATTACATGCCAACCTTCTGCCCTTGCATTGCAACAGCCTGATGTTTCTAAGACTAAATGGGAAATACTCACACCAGGTCATGGTAGGGAAAGACAAGGTGAAGGATTTGTTTGTGGGGAAGGAAGAATTCTCAGCCCCACGTTCTGTCTGTCTAGAGTGGCTTTTGGAAATCTGTCCTTGCAATCTGTTTTTAAGATCCTGGTTTTCCACACACACGGTGCTGTGGCTCTCTGGGCAAGGGAGTAACTCTATTCTGTACCTCCTCCAAGGGAGCCTTGTGTTTGAAACTGCCGAGAGTCTCCTGAGAGCATGCACCTTGTGCTTGTAGCTATTAGTTGGGAGTAGGGAGCTATTAGTGTGCGTGTGTGTGTGTGTGTGTGTGTGTGTGTGTGTGTGTGTGTGTGTGTGTACACATGTGTACACATGTCCACCGGCTTGTGTTGATACTGCTCCCTATTTTACTGCACCTGCCTTTTTTGACCAGGGATCCTGTCATAATACTGCAGGTCACTAAGGTTTCCTTTCTTTCCAGGCCATTCTTCCTTTCTTGTTTCTATTTTCAGGGCATTTCTTAGGGGTCTCAGCATCAAGGGAAAGAGGCCTATTTGAATGTATTTGTCTTTGAGGCTATTTTGTGCCATCTCCTGCAGCTCCACTGAATGAAAGGGGTTTGTTTCCTCCTCTCCGTCCCATTCCTCACTTTTTTAAGTGAATTCAGTATTCTGAAAATGTGACTCTCTGTGTAGAAAACTGCAAGTATTTTCTTTTAAGGTGGCTCATATTTGTTTTTTTGTTGTTGTTATTTGAAGTTTCAATGGCTTGATCATCATTCAGATGTGGTTATTGATATATGTGGATACACATACACATCCTCACACACATACACTTCGCAGCGGAGTGTCTGAAATTGTGGTGGTCCTGATTTATAGGATTCTGCCTTTACTGAAGTATCTATGTTAAATAAAGTTGTTTTTTTGTTTTCTGTTTTTGTTTGTGCAAAAGGAAGCCTAACCAGCGGATTTCCATGGGGATGAAAACACGTCAGCATGGATTACGTATGACAATTAGCCTGTGTTCCTCAGCATTCTGCTCTCCTATAAAAGGGTGGGACTAATGCATCCTATAAATGCTTTTAGAGCTAGCTCAAAATTAATTAAGATCAAATCCCAGAAATCCTCGCCCATCTATCAAAACAACAGACAGTAATAAGGGAGTGAAATGTCATTCAAATATGCCTCCACCATGCAACTTAAGCACACTAGTAATAGTATGGAGACTCAGGCTTTGTTCCCTAAGCATCCCCCCACCCCAGAAGTGGAGGTGGGTGGTGGGCGTTATGTTGTAAGCTTCCCTTTCCTCCCACTTTTCTAATTATTAACATCTTCCAACATATCTTCTCATTCCAACCACTAATCTAGGACAGATCTGGCTTATGTGTGGCTGTGTGGGTGCCAGGCTTGGATTGAATAAGCCATTTTGAAGTATGTTAAAGGACACATTAATCTCTATTCTCATATTCTTGGCCCAAAAAAAAACATAGCAGGGCTACTCTGTAAAGCATATGGGGTATGTTCTGAAGCAGCCTGTGCCCTTTAAAAGTAGGCATCTTTAGAGAGGCATCTGCTGGGGAATTGAACTTTTGACTGTCAATATGGGCAGCCAGGAAACAGTCCATACACCACCAAATTTAAAGTACAGTATTTTGATCTAAAGATAAACAAGATAAGGTCTTGATTTCTCAGCTCCATGGTTTAGTACTTCCCACACCCTTGCTATGAATGTACAACTGGGTCTTGCTAGGGGTGCCCCACCCTACCCACAGCTGCCTATATGCTTTGCAAAGAGCAGTGCCTCAGACACATTGATCCTATTCCCTCTATCCCTACCAACCACATCATGGTGAGAATTATCACAAAGGAAATAAGCTTTGGTTTGAACATTGAAGGTACGGTCAAGCATTGCTGCCAAGTCCTGGCTATTGACTAATTTTGCTCACATGATAAAATTTCCATACGTTTTCCCCCAGCACACTGTCCTGATCATTCTTGGAACATCCTTCAGCTTGCCAATGTCCAACCTGAAATAGTGTGCCCAGAGTGGATTTCAGTGTTTCCAGTGCTGACTGACCATGGACAAAAAAAAATATGGAGGGTCTATCACCTCTCTGCATTAGGCTACACTAATAATAACATGATCACCAAATTGTTCCCACTTATTTCCAGACTGTGATAGGACTCTGACATTTGTCTTGTACAGTAAGCAATGAGGGCCTTCTAGGTATAAGCATCGTACGAGGTGATGAGGGCACAAAGATGTTACACCACACGAGCAGGTGATACAGGGGAAAATGTGATGTGTGATGAAGTTCAAAGAAATGCAGGGAAAGGGCATTTAAGGGGGAGAGAAATTTTGTGCTAAAGGCTTTTCTAATAAAACAACAAAATCCCTGAATTGGGCCCTGAAGGGAGAGACTTCAACACATAGAGATGAGTCCATAATAAGAGGATGATATGGAAGTATGAGGCTGAACAAGAATGGGAGAAGAGTTCAGGCAAACTAGAACAGAAGCACCCAGGGGAATAGTATGGAATAAAGCTGGAACCATTGGTGGAGGGCCTTGTGTGCCAAGGTACTGTAATGGAAAGAGCTCAGGGCTTGGAATCGGAAGCCCCAGAGTTTTAACTGCCAGATGGTATGTATTGGCCTTGTGATTTGGGACAAGTTGATCCATAACTAATCCTTAGTCTAGATTTTTTTTTAATAAAATTAGGTTTATATTAAGCCCAATGAGAAGGTAGGGAATACTTACAAGGGATGACATTAATAGTACAATAGGAAGACCATGAGGGTGAATATGTGAAAGATGAGTGGGATAGATTCAATTCAACAATTGACCATGTGCCAGGCAATATACTGGGTGATGGGGGTACGAAGGCAGTCTAAAAGCTTAGATATTAGGAAGGCCAAAGGGGGGGGCTTGTTTGTTTTTATTATGCCAGGCCTGTGATGTCATTGATGTAGGGAGCCGTGGTAAGGAAGCTTTCTCTTCCAAAGTTGACTGGTATGCACCTGCTCAGCAATTTAAGCACTTCCCACATTTGCATGAGGGTGCTCAATTAGGTTCATAGCCTTATAGGTTTAGAGCTAGAAAGGACCTTGGTCTAACCACTCCATTTTATAGCTGTGGTAACTGAGGCCCCTAGTGCTTAAGTGATTTGTCCAGGTTCCTAGAGAATCAGAGGCAGGATTTGAAACCAGGTCTTCCCAATTCCAGCTCCACCACTCTATCCACTATGCAACACAGATTCTCAATTGCAGACTATACACAAGGGAAATACAAAGCAGTTGGAGGTGGGCTAGTAGTTGGGGTGTTCAGGACAGCTGCAGATAGGAGGTAGCCCTTGAGCTGAACTTCGAAAGGAGCTGTAGATGCTAAGAGGCAGAGGTGAGGACAGAGGGGGTTTTAGGCATGGGGGGGACAACCTGTACAAAGTCACAGCAATGTAGGAGGCAGGTGGGAATGGAATGCTGTGTAAGGAACAGCGAGTGGCCTGGTTTTCTATCAATATCAATTTCATGGAAGAACTAGGAATGTTTATTCTGGAGAAGATGAAACGGTTTTATGGGCCGTGGAATGGGACTTTTTAGCTTGTAATAGCAATGGACAGATGTTGCAAAAAGGTGAGTTTAGGCTTAATATAAGGAAGAAAGTCTCAAGGGGTTGAGAGAGGAGGACAGGTAGAAGGGAGGGCAGATTAGGGGAAGGGGTTTTCAGAATGCTTGCCATCTTGGGGTGGGGGGAGGGATGAGATGGGGAGAAAATTTGGAACTCAAGGAAGAAATTCTTAAGGATTATCTAAAAGGGGGATGGGCTTTGTAGGGAAAGGTTATGGACCCTCTCACTGGACGTCTTTCAACAAAGGCTGGATGACCAGCTGTCAGCTATGTCTTGTTTATGTATAATTGGGGCTCTGAGGTCCTTTCCAATACTGAAATTCTGAGCACAGGCCCTCAGCAGTGGGGAGCCTCAAGAAGAATTTCAGACAATAAGAGCAAAGAAGGAAGAAACCCATGAAGATATCATCCCAGGAGAAGTTTGTGGAGGAGCTTCACATCATGCTAGGGTATTAGGAAACATGTAGCAGAGGATTCTTGGAAACAACTGTCACAAGGCTACCCCTGATATAATTTTGCTTTAACCAATTCAGGTTTGCAGTTAGAATAACACCTAGCATTTAGAAAGATTTGCAAAGTGATTTACATAACATTCTCATTTGATCCAGACGACAAATCTGTGAGATAGATATTTCAGGTATCCATTTTATGAATGAGAAAAATGTGATTGAGAGATATTAGGTGACTTGGCCCCAGCCACATACCTAGTGTCAGAGGAGGTCTTACCTGACTACCTCCATCCCTCTTTCCACCTTGCTGGGCTGTCCTTGTAGCAATTTTGACAATGCATTATAACCAACCCATAATGCTCTGCATGTCAAATGCTGCTGCACATGAAATCCTAGGGAGAACCTCTCCTCCCTCTGATTAGGTAAGAGCAACAAGTCTGGACAGTTAGAAAATCTTAGACTTTCAGAATATAGAGCTGAAAAGAATCATCTAGTTTACAGATATCAAACCCACAGGGCCAGTATGTGTGGCTAGAACCGGATTAAAATGTAATTGGGAAATATTTAAAAAAATAAAATTACAACAGGATGTAGGTAATGTTAAGTTGGTTTTCTAAGCCAATATGCAACCCA